AATATTATTTTCTGGGGGTTTACACCCAGGAGTGGGATTGCAGCATCATATGGGAGCTCTATTTTCAGTTTTCTGAGGAACCCCATACTCTTCTCCATAGTGGCTGTGCCAACTTACGTCCCCACAGTGCATGACGGCTCCCTCTTCTCCACTCCCCCTCCAGCATTTGTTATTTGTAGATTTTTTAAATTATGGCCATAAATCTGGCAGGTGTGAGGTGATACCTCATTGTAGTTTTGATTTGCATTTCTCTAGGAATTAGTGATGCTGAGCATCGTTTTATGTGCCTACTGGACGTCTATATGTCTTCTTTGAAAAAATGCCTATTAAGGTCTCCTGCCCATTTTCCAGTTGTTTGGTTATTTAGCTGTTGAGCAGGCTTTTAGTGTCTTTGACTTCCTCCTCAGCAACCAGCCAGAGAAAATGCTCTGTTTTAAGAGCATCACCTGATTAGACTGAGCTCACCCAGATCATCCACATATTTTAAGGTTAATTGAATTGTGATTTAATTACACCTTCAAATCCCCTTCCCCGTGGTTCCTAGGTGAGTATTGGGTTGAATGGGGTAGAAGAGGGAGGGTCATCTTTAGGATTCTGCCGATTACAATCCTGATATGGAGGACTATTCAAGTGTGAACAAAAACATGCCATGATTTCCAGAATATATTTTTATTTTGAAAAGAGCAATAGTTGCAGTGTCCCACCTTTGTGTAAGAAAGAGAGTAAAACAGGAAAGAGGCCAGCATTTTCTAATATTTTCAAAAAGGAAGAATGGAAAGATAAATAAAAATCAATGAAAACAATGTTTTATACGGGTAGGAAGAGAACAGGAGACAGAGGCAATGATGAAAGTGTGTTCTCTGAATGTGCCTGCTTTGTTGTTTACACTTCAGACAAAATTAAGTACAAAATCATAAAGCAATTTCTAAAAACTGCAAACAACCCAGTATCAAGTTTGTGTTGTAACTCCTCAGAGGAGAAATATTCAAAGTGCTTTTAAATCACAGCATTTTGACACTACCACTCTATACTTTAGGGACAAAAGATAACCCTATTAAGAAACTTTAATCTGCATCCAGTGTTCTTGTCAATGTCAATATTGGTATTGCTGGAGTTGTTTTCTTCCCCAATTTTAAAAATTGTGGTAAAATACACATAGAATTTCATTTACTTTCTTAACCATTTGTAAGTGTACAGATTAGTGGTATTATGATCACAGACATTACCATTATACCTCTCCTGAACTCTTTTCCTATTGCAGAACTGAAACATCATACCCACTAAACAACTCTTCTTTCGTCCTCCTCCCCAGTCTCTGGCGATTGCCATCCTACTTCCTGTCTATACCATACTGACTTCTCTCAGTACCTCCTATATAGGTAGAATCATACAGTATTTGTTGTTTTGTGACTGGCTTATGTCGTTTAGGTTCAACCAAAAGTGAAAGTGAAAGTCGCTCAGTGGTGTCTGACTCTTTGAGACCCCACAGACTAATCCATGGAATTCTCTAGGCCAGAATACGGGAGTGGGTAGCCTATCGTTTCTCCAGTGGATCTTACTGACCCAGGAATCGAACTGGGGTTTCTTGCATTGTGGGCAGATTCTTTACCAACTGAGCTATCAGGGAAGCCCTTAAGGTTTAACCAAGTCGTAGCATATTGCCGAATTCCTTTTTCAGACTGAGTAATATACTACAGTGAGTGTGTGTGTGTGTGCGCGCACACACGTGCTACATATGCTTATCCATCATCTATCATTGGTCACTTGGGGGTTGCTTCTACATTTTAGCAATGCTGTTATGAACATGGGGTTACAAATGTTGCTTCGAGACCTTGCTTTCAATTCTTTTCAGCATCTACTCAGAGGTGGAGTTGCTGAATTATGTGGTAAGACTATCTTTTTTTTTTTTTTTGAGGAACTACCATTCCATTTTCCAGAGCAACTGTACCAGTTTACCTTCCCATCAGCAGAGCACAAGCGTTTCAGTTTCCCTACATCCTCTCCAATGCTTGTTGTTTTTATAATAGCTATCCTAAAGGGTGTGAAGTTTTACTGTGTATTTTTGCAGGCCACTTCACATCCCTCTTGGGGCTCAGTTCAGATCAGTTCAGTCGCTCAGTTGTGTCTGGCTCTTTGTGACCCCATAAATCTCAGTACGCCAGGCCTCCCTGTCCATCCCCAACTCCCGGAGTTTACCCAAACTCATGTCCATCGAGTCAGTGATGCCATCCAGCCATCTCATCCTCTGTTGGCCCCTTCTCCTCCTGCCCCGCCTCCCAGCATCAGAGTCTTTTCCAATGAGTCAACTCTTCGCATGAGATGGCCAAGGTATTGGAGTTTCAGCTTTAGCATCAGTCCTTCCAGTGAACACCCAGGACTGATCTCCTTTAGAATGGACTGGTTGGATCTCCTTGCAGTTCAAGGGACTCTCAAGAGTCTTCTCCTACACCACAGTTCAAAAGCATCAATTCTTTGGTGCTCAGCTTTCTTCACAGTTCAACTCTCACATCCTTACATGACCACTGGAAAAACCATAGCCTTGACTAGAGGGACCTTTGTTGGCGAGGTGGGACAAAAATGATGCTGTTTGCTTAGCTTTATTTGTTTGACTCTTCCCCTTCCTTCTTTCATCTGCATCCAGTCCTGTAACCTAGCTTCTCCGTGCATTTCTTCCTCCTTCATTGACCTCCCTTTCCTCTGAGTTCTCCTGTTAAGATACTTCTGCAGGTCATGATTGTGGTTGCTCACTTGTGTTTCATGTGGAATTGTCCTGTTGCCCCACCTGATCTACATTTTACCAGTGGGGAACATGGCTTACTTTTCTGAAACATTTCATATAATGATACTGTAGCAAGCGTAATGGTAATGAATGGTAATGAAACTCAGCTTTCACCTTATTAACCTGGGGAACACTGAGCATATCCTCTTCAGAATTGCAGAAAACTATGAGGATGCTTGAGGCTCATGTTTTGGATCTGGGAGACCATTCACTTGGGTAACTTCTTGAGCTCCTCCTGTGTGTTCCTGACTGGACACCCTTGGCTCTGCAACAACACCCTCTAAGGAGAACGGGGGCCTGGCTTGGGGAGGGGCAGGCAGGATGGGCTCTGACCCTTGTGTCCCACTCCTTCCGCAGGGAGGGCATTGGGGTCTGGGGTGTGCCCCTCACAGTGGTCACTCCTTCTGGGGAGTGAAACCAAGTCCACCTAAATCTGAGTTCATCTGCCCAGTTTTTGATGGACCTCTCTCTCCAAAATGAGTCCTTTTCTTGTCCAATGCCTGTTCTCCTCAAGATGAAGAATTAAGGGACAGGCGGGAGATGAGAGTGAGCAGGACCCTGCGGGCCCTCCAGGTATAAAAGCTTCTGTGTCACCAATTTCTTGCTGGTAGGAAGGAGGCTTTCAGCATCCTAGACCTTTCCTGAGTTCCAAAGGGCAGATTCAAACAGTTACTCATTAGGGGGTGGGGAAGCAGAAAGAAACAATAGCATGAGATGGGGCGGGGTCCTGGTTCCTGCTCAGAGGACATGCATAACAATACGATACATGTCTCTGAGTTGTTCTGCAGGAACTAAGGCCCCGCCCAGTTAGAGATGGTGACTTCCGGCTGAGTGCAAACATGAGGACCCCAGAGTGTTTGGAACCAGAGGCTGATGTTGGAGATACCAGAGCACCACTCAGTCACCTCACCACCAACCAGTCAGAGGAGGGTTAGGCACTCTGCAGTCTGTGTTATTTGTCATTCAATTGTGTCTGACTCTGTGACCTCATGGACTGTAGCCTGCCAGGGTCCTCTGTCCATGGGATTCTCCAGGCACGGATACTGGAATGGGTAGCCATTTCCTCCTCCAGGGGATCTTCCTGACCCAGGGAGAACCTGTGTATCCTTTGGCTCCTGCACTGGCAGGTGGACTCTTTACTGAGCCGCTTGGAAGCCTCCACACACTATGCAAACCTCCTAGGAAATTTTGCCCATAAAAACACCTTCGCCAAAACTGTTACCAAATGCATGTTCCTGTGCTAAATGCACAGTGGGGCCAATGATATCAACGGCAAACAGTCTGGAGCAGAGAAAGTTCTATTGAAGGGCTATGCAAGGAGACTGGTGCCTTGTATCCAAGGAACCCCCATACTCACCGAAGCGTTTCAGCAAAGCATTTTTAAAGGCCATTTTTAAAGGTATGGCTGGTTTTGCAGACCTGGCACAAGAATTCCATGTTCTCACAGGTGTCCAAGTACGTCAGGTCACAAAGATCCTATAAACCCACAAGACAAATGTTATTCTGTTTTACAACTATTTTTTTTAAGTCGCTCTTTGGTTGGAAAAGTGTTAACTTTTAAAGGGCAGAGACTTGATTATGGGCTCGCCTGTATATTTTAGGCTACAGGTAACATTCCCAACCCAAAGCAAAACCCATAGACTACAAAGGTTATAGTAAAACAACTGACCCAATATGGGGTCAGATTTGTTCTTCCCTGTTACAGTCTTGCAATAGAACGTATTCTGCTCCAAACTCCAAAATTTTGGTTTGATGGGCTTCCCTGGTGGCTCAGATGGTAAAGAATCTGCATGCAATGCAGGGTATGCAGGCAGGCACAGGAATCAAATTCCACAACAGGAGGACTGGGGTCCCATGGGAGTCTGACCCACGTGCCACTCCTTTGGGTCTCAGCCAAACACAACCTGGAGCATGTATCCGAGGTCCTCATGCCCGAGTCCCTGCCTTTCATGGCCTTGATTTAACCCACAACATCCAGAATCCAGTGTGTTAGCAACGCCGATGCCCAAGGTCCACTTGCTACAGGGCAGCCCCCCCCACCCCCGAGCCTGGAGCCCTTCTCTCCCAGCACCAGCCCACGCCCTTCCGCCTGCACCAAGACTACAAGTCCCAGCGTGCAGCGCGGCCCTTGTACTGTCCCGCCGGCCCACGTTGGCATCCGCCGGGGGCGCGCCGCCCGGAGCACTTGCGCGCTGACGTCGACGTGCCAACGTGACTGGAGGTTGCGGCCCTATGAGTTTCTGGGCCCGCACCCCTTCCAATCCGGCGGCGGGAGCCGTGGCCCCGCGATTCAGTTTGAGCGTGCCGCGCTGTGTGAATTTGCGCGGCCGTTGGGAAGGGCCGTCTCTTGTAGCCTCTTTCCCCGGGCCTGAGGCTCCGCGTCCCAGATGGACAAGGTGTGCGTCGTGTTCGGAGGCTCCCGGGGCATCGGCCGGGCGGTGGCCCGCTTGATGGCCCCGAGAGGCTATCGACTGGCCATCGTCGCCCGGAATCTGGAGGGGGCCAGAGCCGCGGCCGGGGACCTGGGCGGTGGGTACCGACCGGGGTCGCACCCCCTCTTCGCGCGGCCGGTGTGGGTCTGATAAGCCGTCTTGTGCGCCCTCCTCCCGCAGGCGGCAGACCCGCCGTGCTGGGCGAGGGGCGGCGCAGGCGTGCTTGGGTCTCGCGAGGAAGCCCGCGCGTGTGCGCATGCCTGCGCCTCGGGCGTGTGCGCATGAGCAGCCAGCGCCTCTTTGGGCAGCCGGGTTGTGGGTGGGCTCTTTTCCTGGCGTCCGCAGCGTTGAAGCACTGTTATGCCTTGATGACCTTCACCAAGGGACAGTGAGATTGTTCCGCCAGATTCCGCTTAAATCTCATTTTCTCCTGTCTGTTAGAAATGGATTCGCAGTTGGTTTACGAGTTTCAGTCTCTGGCTTGTAGTGAGACGGGGTGCTGTGAAGGTTCGAGCTCGCAGCTAGAGTTAGGAGGGCTGGGCTCAGAGGCACCTCGTTCACTGTCAGGGCACCTTTACGCAACGTCACCCCAACTTCACATAGGCCTCCAGAGCTTTAGGAAGGTAGTTTCAGTGTTAATGTACCACGCAAGGTTAGCCAGAAGACAAAGAATTGTTTACCTTTTCTTTTTTTTAAAAAATGGCAGTGTTAAGTGGTATAATGTTGATAAAGATTGCTTTCTTTGAAGTTGAATTTTTTTTTTTAATTAAACATTCACAGAAAGTGGACTTTAAAAAACAGGTAACAGTTTTTAGTAAAAAAATTTTTTCATGATTTTGTGCTTTCAACATTTTAAAAAACGGCTTCTTGCTTTGTCTCATCCCTTCTAATTGTCACGCTGTAATACTAGCCATATAAGATTGTGCTATAGTTAAACAGAAAAACGGTAGTGTTTATTTCAAAGCCAGGAAACCAGTTTGACAAGAATGTAACTGAATTAGACATTAAGCGTATATATGCAAGCATGTTCAGTCGTGTCCCACTTTTGCAACCCCACCGGCAGTCGCCCCGCCAGGCTCCTCTGTCCATGGAATTTTCCAGGCAAGAATACTGGAGGGATGCCATTTCCTTCTCCAGGGGATCTTCCCAGCCCCGGGATTGAACTCTTGTCTCTTGTGACTCTTGTATTGCAGGCAGATTCTTTACCACTAAGCCACTGGGAATGTATCAAGTTTCCAAAAAAGGAATATAAAACTGAGAAAACTGCTGAATTAAGTGGCATAGGGTCAGTGTCAAAACTGTAAATATTGGTAGGTGACTCATACAAAGTGTTATGAACATGAGAAAGGTGCTCCCGCACTTTTGTTGATTAAAAAAGTGTTTTAAGGTTGCATAACTTTGCTCCTGCTTGTTCCCCACCTTCCTCCATCCAGTTTCCTGAACTCCATGAGATCAGGAATCTGGGACTTAATCGTCCTTTATCTCAAGCTCTGGATAGAACAGATGTAAGGCTTCCATGGTGGCTCAGATGGTGAAGAATCCGTCTGCAATGCAGGAAGACCCGGGTTGGATCCTTGGGTTGGGAAGATCACCTGGAGAAGGAAATGGCTACTCATGCCAGTATTTTTGCCTGGAGAATTCCATGGACAGAGGAACCTGGTGGGCTACAGCCCGAAAGATTGTAAAGAGTCAGACCCTACTGAGTGGAACACGACTGAATGATTGATGCTACTACACAAGCTCATCATAGTTTGATGAGTGTGTACTGAATCATGTTTACAACCAAGGTATACTTTATTTGTAACTCTAATTTAATTTTGTTGTGTAGGAGATCATTTGGCATTGAGCTGTGATGTTGCCAAAGAACATGATGTTCAAAATACATTTGAAGAGATAGAGAAAAATTTAGGTTGCGTTAATTTCTTGGTAAATGCAGCTGGAATTAACAGGTTGGTCACAAATTTAAGTACATTTCTAATTTTTTTCTCCTAATTTTCTTTTGATTAATATGAGTTAGTATATTAAATTGTTTTACTTCTAATAGGAAGAAAAGGTATGTATTTTAAAATTTGGTCTGCAAGTTGCACAGTCGTTTCATTGTTTTATATTGAGATTATAATAAGGGTTTCATTTAGTTTTTTTGTGTGTCAAAGTGTTATTTTATTATAGAGGGAAAAAACCCTTTTAAAGTAAATGTGTGCTATTGGAATAGTTATATGTGTGTGTAGTACAGGTATAATATGATGCCTGGGAAGTGTACATATTAAGGGTACAGTTTAGTTTTAACATTGTAATCAACACTCATATTGAGCTGAAGAACTTTACCAGAAATCCAGAAGACTCTCTTGTTTTCTTCCCAGTTAGTACTTCCTTTTAGGTGACCACTGTCATGACTATTTATGTTTCCTCACAGATCAAGTTTAAAATGGGCTGTCCAGGTGTTCTAACTCAGAGGCAAAGCTCTTCTTATATTCTACTTTTAGAAAAAAATGTTATCTATTTGTTGACTTTGTCTTGTCCCATTTTTAAATCACATGGGATTGTTTTGGTTTGATTTTGCTTTTTTGGTAGGGATAATCTGTTAGTAAGGACAAATACTGAAGAGATGCTGTCTCAGCTCCACACTAACCTCCTGGGCTCCATGCTGACCTGTAGAGCTGCCGTGAAGACAATGATTAAACAGCAGAGAGGGTCCATTGTGAATGTGGGTGAGTCTTCACCTCTGTGTGTATAGTGTTATCTATGGCACCACAGAGATTTAATCAACTGATTTGCAGTTTATTTACCTGTGAAACTTGGACAGAATGTGTCTTTATTATCCATGGAAAAAGGATTTTATTAACTGAATAATAGGTGAAATAGGAATCACCAATTCACATCCTTCTAGTGGTCAAGCAGGTGTTATGGAGTGACACCACCGGGTACTGGGACAGTGACAGCTCACGTCGGGAGATACATGACCTCAGGCACCCACCTTTGGTGTCCAGAGGCTGTGTGGAATAGCCCCGATCCAGCAGGTTGTTGCTGTGCACAAATGTGGTGCAGTGTGACCCGCTATTTTGCATATTTAAGAGAAATTGGACATCCTGATTCTTATATGAAACAAAATTTTCAAAATGTGATCAAGGAATGAAAAACTTGTCGTTGGTGAGGGCTAAAAAATGACTTCTGCAGTGACTGCGTGTGTCACTAGTAAATCCAGCACAGAGGTCTAGGAGGTTTTCTTAAGAGAATAACCTTTATTCTTACAAGAGAATAACCTTTTCAGTGTTTAGAATGGATGTTAAGTAATTCCTGGGCTTCAGTTCACCTGCCCTACAGGGCAGAGTAGAGTATGTGCCTGTAGACTTTAAAATGCAGAGTGACTTGAAATGCATGCCTGCCATCTCCCATTTAAGCTGTGATACCTTATAGGCCATAAAAAAGGGATGCTGCTCTTAGAGTAAGTGACCCTACTCTAATACAGGAACTGTCTTTCCAAGCCAGAATACAGAGAGCTTCCTTTTTGATATTGACCAAAGGAAAGAATATTGTGCTAGTAACAGTTAGAACATTTTGAACATGTACCCTTAAAAATGTGAGAGGTCGATTTTCTTCTAAAAGATGCGTAATTAAGTTGACTTTTGCCTTCTGACATAGCCAGATAATGATTTGGCTTCTTGTAAGCTGATATACTACCACCTACATTTCTCCTGGTAAAGGAAGGTGTATTTGTTCAAGTCTAAAACATGCCCTTTTTAGACATACATAAAACAAAATCCCATATCAGTCTTTTGCTTACATGCAGACTTTTAGACTTGTGCTGTAAGTCAATAAAATAGACTATTGAAAATAAGTTAGGAGACTCTTATGACCAAAAAGGTTACTGTAAATTTCTGGAAAGGACATTGGTATTTCAGAAGTTACTGCTTCGCAGAGGAACAGCTGTGTGGTGGAACCTTGGCTGCTCAAGCCTCCTGCTCAGCCTTGCCTCCGAGTCTGTATTTTTCCTTTTGTGTTTCTCTTTGTTGCTCTTCTTCCCCCAAACCCCTTTCTCCAGCTGCATTTCCTCTGTCTGATCAGTGTCTTTTCTCACTCTTTCTGTACTCCTCCTTTCTCTTCCTTTGTCATTAACTGACATGTAATACCTAATGTGGATAAATATTTTATTCTTGGACTTGCTGATCATAAGAAGTATGTGGAGTGTTTTTATTTTCTAAAATTAAATTACTTTCTCAAAAATTTTATGAAGTTCTTGATTACTTTTTATATTACATGAAGGAAAGTTAAACGGCTCAAAATAGCCTGGAGTTAAAACTCCCCTCCAGGTCCTCCCCACCATTCTGTGCAAAACCAAGAACTCTCTCACCCAAAGAAAAAAATGGACATTAAGGCTGATTACGCCCAGCTCCCACCTGGTCCAGCCTCTGGCCGATCTCCAGAATTCCTTGCCCCAGCCGTTTAAGAGATAACTCCTCTGAACAACCTTGGAGAAGAACAGGCCCCCTTAAGACAGTATCTTTCCACATACATGCCTCTATATGCTTTCTCTTTTCTTGGGTTAGTGCAGCCGCTCGCTAATCTCACTGCTGCCCCTTCTGCCTCATTAAAGGTGATCTGTTCCTGTACAGTGCCGGTCTCATTCTTTTTCCAAACCTCGCCTTCTCTAACTCCCTTACCCTACATTACATATACAGGTCATTGATGCAGAAAATGACTCCCAGTTTCTGTTCTGCAAGAATTTATTTGCATCCAGTTGATACTTGGGTTATAAATTATTCTTTCACATTCATATAATTGAGCCACCCAAGAATCTTTATATTAGGCAGTACAAGTTGATACATATCTGAAGGTAACTAAATTGCAATTTTACAAGAAGTTTACAATAGAAGCTTTGCTAATTTAATCAGCAGTAGTTGAAATTTAGTAAAATTTTTCTTGGAATGAACTGTTTTTTAGCTGGAAATAAAAACTTTATGCCTGTGTTATAGGTCATAAAATCAGTCTTTACCTGGCTTGTCGGTTCTGGCTTTAAGCTCTTCCTCCTGGAAGCCTCTGGAAGCTCTGTAGACTTTTTATCATGCTCCCCCTCCTCAGAGATGAGCGTGGGTCCCCGTGACTTAGTGGACCCGTTCTCAGCCACCGCCTGGTCCTCCGGGTTCTGCAGGAGCTTCTCGCGGCTCCTCTTTCTGAGCAGACTCAGACTCGGAGTCTTGCTACTCCAACGACAGTGGTTAGAATTCCTCATTTTAGCAAAGAACGAGGTAAGGGTCTGTACCTTGTCTGTTTACTATAGACTGTCTGAATGTGCAGAATAATAACCCTATGAATGTGGTTTGAATTTGCTCTCATTTCTTTTTCTAGGAAGTGTTATTGGTCTAAAAGGCAATTCTGGCCAGTCTGTATACAGTGCCAGTAAAGGAGGATTAGTCGGATTTTCACGTGCTCTTGCCAAAGAAGTAGCAAAAAAGAAAATTAGAGTGAATGTAGTTGCTCCAGGTCAGTGGAAACTTCTTTTTTCTTTTAATTTATGTGAATCTGTGGTTTTATAAAATAATATCGAAGGCCGGTCTTGTGTCGGTAAGTACACCATCGTCACCAAGCACTGTCACAGGTCTGGGGACAGGAGCAGGGAACCCACAGGGGACATGGAGCAGGGTGGTGGTGGGGTTTGAACTCTGTCTGATGGGGCTGGGGGCTGAGACTCATGCCAGGCACGCTGCATCCGTGCTGGACACAAGAGAAGCTCCCCATTTAAAAGTCAGGTATAACTTGGAACTCTCAAAAACTGAATGTACGAATGTCAAGTAAGTGGGGTGAGGCGTGTTGGTGACGTATATACTGCAGTTGAGTGGGCCGAAGTTGTGTCCCTTTGCAGAACTGTTTGCATTTTAATTGTCTTTGTCCTCTTTGGGGATGTGTTATCGATTTGCTGCTCACTGGGATACAGTGTTTGCTAATTTAGACATTGTCAGTTTGTCAAAGCAGAGCTTTTCAAACAATGCATCCATTACCTAATATAGTCCCTGCATCTAGATTAAAGAAGTAACACATCTTTATACTTAAAATATCTGAAGAGCACTGTCATATGATGTGCTTTTCATAACAACACGAATCAGAGGAGGCAATCCAACAAGGCTGCTTTGGTGATGTCCTTTGTACATTCCATGACATCATTGCCTGCAGTAACTGACCTACTGATAACCTCAGAGACTACGGGTTTGGTTCCAGATACCGAAGGAGAGCACGTATCACAGTAAAGCAATCAGCAAACCTTGTTTCCCAGTGCATATAGAAATTACATTTATACTATACTGTAGTCTATTAAATGTCCTGTAACACTGTATCTAGAAAACCAGTGTTCATACCTTAATTTAAAAATACCATAAGATCCTCTTTGACCCATCTCCTAAAGTAATGGAAATTAAAAAAAAAGCAGATGGGACCTAATTAAGCTTAAAAGCTTTTGCACAAAAAAGACAATACAAATAAGATGGAAAGGCAGCCCTCAGAATGGGAGAAAATAATTGCAAACAAACAACTGACAAAGAATTAATCTCTAAAATATATAAGCAGCTCATGCATCTCAATATGGGAAAAACAGACAACCCCATCCGAAAATGGATAGAAGACCTAAACAGACATTTCTGTGAAGAAGACATCCAGATGAGCAATAGATACGTGAAAATATGCACCACATTGCTCAATAAGACACATGTACCCCAGCATTACCTGTAGCACTATTTACAGTAGCTAGGACATGGAAGCAACCTAGATGTCAATCAACAGCTGAATGGATAAAGAAGATGAGGTACAGATCAGTTCAGTCGTGTCCGACTCTTTGTGACCCCATGGACTGCAGCACGCCGGGCTTCCCTGTCCATCACCAACTCCGGAGCCTACTTAAACTCATGTCCAACACATCGGTGATGCCATCCAACCATTTCCTCCTCCCACCTTCAGTCTTTTCCAGCATCAGGGTCTTTTCCAGTGAGTTGGTTTTTTGCATCAGGTGGCCAGAGTATTGGAGTTTCAGCTTCAGCATCAGTCCTTCCAGTGAATATTCAGGACTGATTTCCTTTAGGATGGACTGGTTGGATCTCCTTACTGTCCAAGGGACTCTTGAGTCTTCTCCAACACCACAGTTCAAAAGCATCAATTCTTTGGCACTCAGCTTTCTTTATAGTCCAACTCTCACATACGTACATGACTACTGGAAAAACTATAGCTTTGACTAGACGGACCTTTGTTGGTAAGTAATGTCTCTGTTTTTTAATATGTTGCCTAGGTTGGTCGTAACTTTCCTTCCAAGGAGTAAGTGTCTTTAATTTCATGGCTACAGTTACCATCTGCAGTGATTTTGGAGCCCAAGAAAATAAAGTCTGTCACTGTTTCCATTGTTTCCCCATATATTTGCCATGAAGTGATGGGGCAGGATGCCATGATCTTAGTTTTCTGCATGTTGAGTTTTAAGGTAGATTTTTCACTCTCCTCTTCCACTTTCATCAAGAGGCTCTTTATTTCTTTGCTTTCTGCCATAAGGGTGGTGTCATCGGCTTATCTGAGGTTACTGACATTTCTCCTGGCAATCTTGATTCCAGCTTGTGCTTCATCCAGCCCAGCATTTTGTATGATGTACTCTGCATATAAGTTATATAAGCAGGGTGACAGTATACACTCTTGACGTACTCCTTTCATGATTTGGAACCAGTCTCTTGTTCCATGTCTGGTTCTGACTGTTGCTTCTTGACCTGCATACAGATTTCTCAGGAGGCAGGTCAGGTGGTCAGGTATTCCTATCTCTTTAAGAATTTTCCACACTTTGTTGTGATCCACACAGTCAAAGGCTTTGGCATAGTCAATAAAACAGAAGTAGATGTTTTTCTGGAACTCTCTTGCTTTTTCGATGATCCAGTGGATGTTGGCAGTTTGATCTCTGGTTCCTCTGCCTTTTCTAAATCCAGCTTGAACATCTGGAAGTTCACAGTTCATGTACTGTTGAAACCTAGCTTGGAGAATTTTGAGCATTACTTTACTAGCGTGTGAGATGAGTGCAGTTGTGCGGTAGTTTGAACATTCTTTGGCATTGCCTTTCTTTGGTATTGGAATGAAGACTGACCTTTTCCAATCCTGTGGCCATTGTTGAGTTTTCTAGATATGCTGGCATATTGAGTGCAGCATTTTCACAGCATCATCTTTTAGGATTTGAAATAGCTCAACTGGAATTCCATTACTTCCGCTAGCTTTGTTCATAGCGATGCTTCCTAAGGCCCACTTGACTTCACATTCCAGGATGTCTGGCTCTAGGTGAGTGATCACACCATCCTGGTTATCTGGGTCATGAAGATCTTTTTTGTACAGTTCTTCTGTGTATTCTGACTTCCCTGGTGGCTCAGATAGTAAAGCATCTGCCTATAATGCAGGAGACCTAGGTTCGTTCCCTGGGTTAGGAAGATCCCCTGGCGGAGGGCATGGTAGCCCACTCCAGTATTCTTCAGGGCTTCCCTGGTAGCTCAGACAGTAAAGCATCTGCCTGCAGTGTGGGGGACCTGGATTCAATCCCTGGTTCAGGAAGATCCCCTGGAGAAGGAAATGGCAACCCACTCCAGTAGTCTTGCTGGAAAATCCCACAGTCCGAGGAGCCTGGTAGGCTACAGTCCATGGGGTCGCAAAGAGTCGGACATGACTGAGAGACTTCACTTTCACTTTCTGTGTATTCTTGCCACTTCTTCTTAATATCTTCTGCTTCTGTTAGGTCCATACCATTTCTGTCCTTTATTGAGCCCATCTTTGCATGAAATGTTCCCTTGGTATCTCTGATTTTCTTGAAGAGATCTCTAGTCTCCCGTTCTATTGTTTTCCTCTGTTTCTTTGCATTGATCACTGAGGAAGGCTTTCTTATCTCTCCTTGCTATTCTTTGGGACTCTGCATTCAGATGGGTATATCTTTCCTCTTCTCCTTTGCCTTTAGCTTCTCTTCTTTTCTCAGCTATTTGTAAGGCCACCTTAGACAACCATTTTGTCTTTTTGCATTTCTTTTTTTTGGGGGAAGGTCTTGGTCCCTGCCGCCTGTACAATGTATCGAACCTCCATCCATAGTTCTTCAGACACTGTGTCTATCAGATCTAATCCCTTGAATCTATTTCTCACTTCCACTGTATAATCGTAAGGGATTTGATGTAGGTCATTGCTGAATGGCCTAGTGGTTTTCCCTGCTTTCCTCAATTTCAGTGTGAATTTGACAATAAGGAGTTCATGATCTGAGCCGCAGTCAGCTCCCAGTCTTGTTTTTGCTGACTGTCTAGAGCTTCTCCATCTTTGGCTGCAAAGAATATGATCAATCTGATTTCAGTGTTGATGTCCGTGTGTACAGTCTTCTCTTGTGTTGTTGGAAAAGGGTGTTTGCTATGACCCACGCCTCCGCTGGAGACTCCTGGACACTCACAGCCCTGTCTGGGTCAGTCTCTTGTGGGGTCACTGCTCCTTTCTCCTGGGTCTTGGTGCACAAGGTTTTGTTTGTGCCCTCCAAAGGTCTGTTTCCAGTCCTGTGTAAGTTCTGGTGGCTCTGTGGTGGGGTTAATGGCGACATCCTCCAACAGGGCTTAAGCCATACCCAGGTCTGCTGCACCCAGAGCCCCTGGGGCAGGCCACTGCTGACCCGGACCTCCACAGGAGACACTCAGACACAGTTCTGGCTCGGCCTCTGTGGGTCGGGCTGCGTTTTGTGCCCTTCCCAGGTCTGGGCAGTTCGGGGGAGCAGGTGCTTGGCAAGCGTACTGTCCCAGGTGGGCCGCGTGTCTCAGTCACCTCCCCGGTCCCGGCCACACAGCTTCCTGGGTACGCCGCGAGAGCACCGACTCAGGTGTGCCGCGTGTCTCCTCTGGAGAGCTGATGGCAGGCTGTGACCCTCCTGCGGATGTCAGCCATCCAGGATCTCAGGAGGACGTGGTTAGCAGCTGGGAGCCTGCTCACAGTTTGGTGGAAGATGCTCTGGGGCTGAGACTGTCGCAGCCCCTTGCCTTCCAGCTGTCAAGCCTGCCTCTCTGCCTCTGTGCGGTAATCTTTGGTATTGCTCAGTCGTTGTTCTGTGTGAGGGCCAGGCTGCATGATAGGTTGTTAGGTTAGAGCCTGCCCTGGGCGGCTCTCTTCTCCGCAGTTGTGGTTAGGTGTGTATTCCGTGGGGTTTTTTCTCCCAGTTATGTTGTCTTCTGGGATTCCAGGTCTCCCGACAGACCTGTCCGTGAGAGGGTTTCCTACTGTGTGGAAACTTCTCCTTCACGACTCCCTCCCCAGGACAGGTCTCCGTCCCTAACTCTTTTGTCTCTCTTTTTGTCTTTTATATTTTCTCCTTCCTCCTTTTGAAGAGAATGGGCTGCCTTTCTGGGTGCCTGGTATCCTATGCCAGTGTTCAGAAGTTGTTTTGTGGAAGTTGCTCAGCGTTCAAATGATCTTTTGATGAATTTGTGGGGGAGAAGATGGTCTCCTTGTCCTATTACACA